CCCTTCATTTTACGAGGGAGCCGCCGCCTTTCCTCAGCGGGGCTGCGAGCGAGCATCGCCGGCGGAGACCGGAGCCATGGGCGGCGGGTCGGGGCACCTCGGGGGACCGGTGCTGCCGTAATCCCAGCGCCTCTTCGGGAAGATGAACCCAAAGGTGAAAACGCACCTCATTTGGGGCTGAAGCTCCTCCCCGGGGCGGGGGCAGGGGCGCCGTCCCTCCGCACCCCTCCGGCCCCCCACTCCCAGCCCCGTGGGGCGGAGGGAGGCGACAGCAAAAACAAATACCACATCTACTCCGAAAAAGGCAACACCACCTCCGCTCCTGCTACATGTAAATTTGGTTCACTTAAGGAAAACACGCGGGAAGGGATCGGAGCTGAGAATAGCTCTTTTTTCGGAGGAATGCAGGAAAAGCAGCGCCTAGCTCCAGGTGACTGCGGAGAGGAGCTGCTCAGCCCCCCCAGGCGAGGGTCCTTCGCCCGGCAGGCCTGTGCCTGCAGCGCCCGGGTCGCCCAGGGTCCGCAGCCTCGGGGGATGCGCCCGGCGCCACTGCGGCGGCGAGGAGCGCCCCGGCTGCGGGGAGCCCCCGGGGCAACTCCGGCGCGGGCCGGCAGCGGGAGGAGCCCCGGCCTCCGGGGGTCGGGGAGGGAGGCCTCCAGGAGAGGGGATCCAACTTTTATGTCAGCTGGAAAAAAACAGATACAGTGCAGCGGGTACACTTCATACTCGGTACGCTTCATGCGCTGGGGGATGGAAGTTGAGAGTCCCCAGTAGTGCATAAGGAAGCTCAATGCCTGTGCCAAAAAGCCTCTGCCTCCAAGCCAGCTGAGTTATTTTCTACAGCCTGTTTTACTGATGCCTGGTTTCAGCTGGGTTGGTCAAAGGGAAAGAAGCTTCCAGTCCTGGAGACAAGATGCACAAAATGAGAGGTGATCCCTCTTGCCGCTTCCTCAAAAGAATTATCTTCCTCTGCACCAAGGGTATTCCCTAGCATGAAGTAGGGTAATGAGTGAAATACCGGTATCTGAAACATCCCCCTTCCGCATCAGAGCCTTTGGCTGGGCACTTGCTGGCATTGGGAGGGTAAAGCCCTGCTGGAAGCGATGCTCAGAGGACACTGTGCTTAACCCAGATCTGTCTGTATGTGGCATCCATGATGTAAACACAGACTCTCAAAGCAGCAGCAACTTTAAGAAATGGGTTTCAAAAGCTTTCTCCAGATGTACGTTTTGAAGTTCCTAAAAAAAAAAGGCAAAATATATCCTGCCAAAGCAGATATAACCGGTTAGTGAAAACTCCCAAGAGCCAAAATTAATATTCAATTACATAGTTGTAAATCCAGTGGAAAGGACTCACCCGTCCTAAACCAAAGCAACGCTGCTCATGCCATACTTGCTTTTCTTTGCACAGGGGATTTTTCTGAAAAGGGGAGATAGAGAAGGAGGGAGTACGACAAAATGAATATTCATTGTCTTCTCTCTGACCTACGAGAGGTTTCTGGAGAAATGCTATGTATTAAAGCTCTGCAGTATTCATCCATTATGGAAAACCATGGGGTGGCAGTAGCTGCCAAAACACTAGACAAACTGTGTCATCACAGAATACCAGGACTTCCCTCTGAACTGTCACTGTCTGCTCAAGTCCCACATCTGTGCTCAAGTTACAAGACAAGCACTCCCCTCCACAAAAAAAAAAAAGAAAACCACACAAACAAAAAACCCAAAACAAACCATCAACAAAACCAAACATAACCCCCCCAAAACCCACGCCCCAAAAAAACCCACCCAACCCACCCAACAACCTGACACCTAAGACTAAGAAGGATGACATCTCATAAACAAAAACTTTACAGTCATACCCCTTAGTGCCAATGCCATGAAAAAGGCGTGTATTAGGACAAATCTGTTTATGCTCCAGACTTCTTAAGTACACAGGGTTTTTTATTGCATGGGGAAGGATAAGCCACAGAAATAATTTTTCCAATTAGTAAGAAAAGGAATGGTGTCCTCCAGAATATAATAGTCCTTCAGTCACGTCAAAATGTCCATATTCTACAACATGTCTGTTACTAAATATAATGCTATTAATGTCTCTGTGTGTCACTCTTCCTTGTGTTTTCAGCATGTGGTAGACTTCTCAATAAAGGATGAAATTATATTAGACATTGACTTTCTCGAGCTGACATTTTCTTGAATGACAATGTTCTACATAGGCAACTGTAGTAACATTTATGAATTAATTTTCCCCTATAAGAGACTGACCTGAATTTTTGCACTCCTCAGTGCTTCCAATAAAAGTGGAAGCATGAGACATAGGTAAGAGAGAGAAATGCACGTCCTGAGTCTTACCATAAAATGTATCTGCAATTGAAAAAAGAAAAAAAAAACTGTTTACATATACGCTCAAACATATTCATGTAATAGTTCAGTAGAAACATTTCTGTAGCTCAGGATTTGGCGCTTTCTTTGAGGAACTGAGTGACACTGAGCAACGCACAACCAATTTTCCCTGCTGGATAGGTATTATGAAAGGAAAGGTCCTATGTTATTGTTTTAATAGCAATAAAATCAGATGTGAAGACCACTATCAGAAACCCAAGCCAAATGAGCATTTTACTTACTAGCAGCAATCATTCTTCTTGCAAGCTTGAGTACTGCAATGCGAAGTCATTGGGTTACCAGCTGTCGAACAGTAAAAGAGTAAATGGAAGAAAGGACTTGTGGAAAAGAAAAACAAATTTGAGGACAAATGCAGCATAGCCCAGTTACAGTCATGCTCAGAATCACCTTCTGGAGGACCTCTGTCCCTGTTGACTAGGGTGTCCCTGGGAAGGTTAACCTGCCCAGCTACCATCTGTCTTCCTGAGGAGGACATGAGAAGCAGAAGCCACCAAGTTTTTTAGTGCAGGTCACCATTTCATATTTTTCATGTGATGTTGTAATTGGGAAACAAAAAAAATCAATTTTATAATGGAAAATTATAATTGAAGACAGCGCAACACAGCCAAAATATAATCAATTTATACCAGTTTAGTTGATGATTAAGTAAATGAACTAATTTTTTTAAATATCCACTGTCATTAACATTTTATTAAGCTTCTACTTGTTTCTTTTATGTATTTTTCTGTTCTCCCTTATTATTTATAATCATCTCTACTATTTACAATTACACGTACTAATTCATTACAGATCTTGCAGAACATGACAGCCACTTTATACTGAAGTACATTGATGATAAGTCAGAATTCTACTCTGAAATTGCAAAAAAAGAATTAAGTGTCTGTGAAATACAACTGTAAGGAGCGATGGTGTAGTTAAATTGGACAAGGCTGGAAACAAAGCCAGCCAAAAGTTGTCATTATTTTTAAATTCCAAAGCACAATTGCATTTTTAGTTAATGCAGTTGAAATACAAGCTCGGTTTGATCAATAACACAGAATTGGTGAAAAGAGGTCTTACTGTAGAAAAATATAAATAAAACTAAGATTGGACAAGACAGATGGACAAAATTTGAAAGCTGTCATGAAATCAGTCTACTGTTAGTCCCACAGTAGCAGGCCGGAGTCC